GATCTAGAAAGATGGCCTAGCTGTGATTTCTGAGAGTAACTTATGGGCTACTTAACTTACTGAGGGTCTCATGGAGGTGGCAGCCCCTCTCTGGGCAGACGGGGCAAGGCCTGAGCTCATTGAATGCTCCTGCCTGTATCAGGGCTTTCCTCCTATGAGTGGTGAATCAGTTGGTCTCTCCTGCCCCACATGGAGCCTGGGACATGGTGAGGTGCCGGAGGGTTTGGGGAGCATTGGGATGAGCTTAGCCTTAAGTGGGAGCCACAGACTGGGACATGGTCCAACCTTCCCAACCTCTACCACTATGGCAGCTGTGACTGTCCAGCTGTTCACAGACCTGCACTTGGGATGGGGACCACTGAGGTGCCTTGCTCAACACACAGCCATGACAACAGCCATGCCACACGGTGTCTGCAAAGGGCATGTGCTGAGCCTGACCACCCTGTCCCTTGTGTCTTGCTCACGGGCCTCTTCCCTTCATGTCTCACTCTTGCAGCTCTCCGGTTCAGGATGTTCCCGAGAAAATACCCAAAGGCCCCAAGAAGGTAAGGCTTCCCAGAAGAAGCTCAGGCAGTCGCCATCCAACCCTGGCCAGGACTGAGTGTGAAGCTGGACTCCAGAGAGGGCAGGGTCTTGTCAGAGCCCTTTCACTCCTGGCCCAGGACTGAGACACCTTGGAGCCACCCTTGAACCCTACTCATTGTCCTTCCTGCCTCCTGGTGTAGCACCAGAGGTCCAGATCCTGTCCCACCGCCACTACCCAAACCCTCCACTGCAGCCATCCAGCTCATCAGGGCTGGCTCTGGGGTCTCCCCTGTAGGAGTCCCAGCTCTCGCTGGGCGGCCAGCACTGTGTGGGAGAACCAGATGAGGAGGTGGCTGGCGCCTTCCCTGTCTTCATCCGGAATGCTGTCCTGGGCCGGAAGCAGCCCAAGAGGACCAGGCCAGAGCCCTGTCGCAGCACAGATGCTGTAAGTATGGCTTCCCACAAGTGGCAAGTACCAACCCTCTTGGCAGGGCCTATTAGCCCGGCCCACTCACCTCTTCCTTCTACTCTAGGTAAGGACAGGCTTCGATGGTCTTGGAGGCCGGACAAAATTCATCCAGCCTGTATCCTTGTTCTGTGGCATTGGGCTAAGCTGAGCTATAGAGCCCACCATCCCTCACTTGTACCCCCAGCCCCCAGCCGACCAGGGACTGCAGCCTCAGGTGTGCAGAGCCAGACCTTGCTCAGTCTGGGCAGGGCAGCCCATCCCCACGTCTCAATCTTTCCTGCCCTGCGTTCCAAACCCCTCTTGGCTTTTTCCTTGACATCTCCTTCAGACTGACACAACTGTGATCCGTCCACTGCCTGTTAAGCCCAAGGCCAAGGCTAAGCAGAGAGTGGGGGCCAAGAGAGTGCTCCCTCCCTCCCAGGCCAAGCTGGACACCTTCCTGTGGTAGTGAGAACAGTGAGTCTGATCAATGGCCAGATATGTGCCTCCGACTTGCAGGCCAAGGACCAGCTCAGCAGGGGGTTTGGGGGCCTGGCACCTCTTCTAGGACCAACCTCGAGGGCAATGGTAGATAAGAAGATGGGGCTGAGGGTGAGACCTGGAGACTGCTTTGCCTTCACTCACCCTGCCCCACCTCCACCGCACTGGGCCTACCTATGGGAGCTGTGACCAGCTCTGGTTCCTGCCAGCAAGGCTTCTTGTTGCAGGCTCCTATTTATAGCCATTCACTGGATGTGGTTGGACTGCTTCCTGTCCTCCAGACCAGGGTCTTTCGTTGACTGGATGGACAGCGTTTGAGCTTCTCAGGCAGCTTCAGCCTGCCTAAGCTTCTGTCTGCCTCTGACTTGCTGCTAGGCATGGCCTGGGCCAAGCTGGGTGGGCAATGGGCGATAGTGGTGGGAGGAAGATGGGGGGCAGGATTTCTATGTTAAAAATAAAAAAAGATATAATCTCTTTCTCCTGGCTCTGGGAGTGTAAATTTGCACTTTGGCAAACTATTTGGCATGACTTTCTAAAGTAGGTCCTTCACCTAGACTCAGATGCAGCAGTTCCACCCTTAGGCACCTCTCATAGGGCACAGGGAGACTCTAGCAAGAATGAAATCACTGCATCTTTGTCCACAGACTCTAACCTAGCCACAGCCCAAAGGCCATAAGCAGGAAAGCAGATGGGTAAACTGAGGTCTCNCCAAGTTGGAGCTGAGGTCAGCCCAGAAGGACTTACAGAGTGCTGACAAGGAAATCGCCGTGAGGGTCATTTCTGGCCAGACGGGAATGAGGGGTGGTTTGTATGCACTCCAGTAGCAGAGCTGGGCTAGCTCTGCCTGGGAACCTGTGTACCAGTCAGTGGGGCGCTTCTGGGCTCCCAGCATGCATCTGGGTCAGGCTGGGTCAGGATGTGCACCTTGGCCCTGGTCTGGAGCCTGGACCTCCTCAGCCGAGGGCAGACAGCACCATGAACCTTCCCCTACAGTCTGTCCTGCACCTGCATCTCCAAGGTCACCCGAGGAGCGGTTTTGCCAGACAGGGGTTCTGTGGCTGAGTGGTCCTGGCCTCCTGAGCCTGATGGTGGGGTCTCAGGCCTTGCTCTGTCCCCAGGGGGCTTGCCCTTTGTGCACGTTGCTCACGTCCTTGACAGTCTCTCTTGATGCTTCAGCCTTTCGTTCACACCCTTCTCTTTCCTTCCACAAGAGCCTGAAAAAAAAGCTAACGATGCTACAGGAAACCCTGAAACTGCCTCCAGTGGACAGTGAGACTGTCAACCGCCTGGTTTTAGAGAGGTTTGTTGACCTTCTGGGGGTGGTGCAGGGACCACAAGCTCCCTGGTAAGGGTCTTTGCTCCTAGCTTTGGTGAGGTGGGTGGTCCATGTGTGCGTGAAGGCCATGGGCCTCCTGCCCTGGGAGACAGCCCAGATTTAGCTGGAAGGCAGCTTTGAGGCCAGTTCTGGGCTCTGACAAGGAGAGGCCAAGGTCGGCCAGAGAGGACCCAGGGATGGTCAGAGAAGGGGCAGGAACACTGACTGTCTTGGGGCAGCCTGTTTATGAAATGTCTCACCAAATGCACCTGACCCACTTGCTGAAACACACAGAAAACCACCAAAGAATTCCCTTCTGCTCTCTGGACTGTGTGCTTTAAAGTTGCCAGCAGAGGGAGCCAAGAGGCAGAGCTGCCCTGCTGAGGGCCCAGACAGAAAACTCAGCAACCCAGTGACCCTGCTAGGTACAAGCTCCACCGTGCTCCCTCTACTTTCCATTCCAAGGGCCTTGGGGTGTTTCCATGCGCTGTCCTCTGTGCCTGGCATCCACAGTGAGGAAAGCACAGGCACACAGGTTACCCTAGGTGCCCAGGGTCTTTGCATACCAGTTTTTACTTACTTCTTTTACCACCCCAGGCTGCTCTGAGGCCTGGTCTCCTATTATATGACAGGTCCTTACTGAGTGTCAGGCTCTCCCTGTCCTCTTGGAGCTTGTGTTCTAGTGGGAGAGACAAACTGGGGGGTTCAATGGGCCAAGCTCCAAACCACACCGTGGAATTTGGTCTGTAGCTCCCAGGTGGGGATGAGCCCGCTCCATTCATTTGTGCCAGGGCCTGCAGCCCACCTTGGTACAGAGAGGACTGCTCTGGTCTCCCCCGTGTTACACCAGCCAGACACCACATCTGACAAGCCTACATCTGTACAAAGCGGGGCTGAGCTTCCCACCAAGCTGCATGCAGGATGACTTCTTTCCCTTTTTTTCCCCAGTATTTTTCTGGGCATTAAAGTTGGGTGGCAGGTCTGTCGCTTTTAGTATTGGCCCTTCTTTTAATGAGGCAAGGTCCTTTCCTAGGGCTCCGATCTCTCAAAAATAGCAGCTTCGCCTGTCTTTTTTGTGCTCTGGTGGCAGGACCCTCAAAACTACAGGTCCCCTTACACACCCTGCCTCCACCTTTACCCCATGACAGCCCACACTTCTGGAAGAAGTCTTAAGCTTTCCTGACATATCACAATGTATAGGCACATTGCTTCAACCAATATTAGATCTAAAGGAAGAGCGGTCCAGACAGAGAATGGCTAATGCAAAAGCCCTGAGGCATGACTAAGCTGAGTGTGCTTGAGGGAGAGGGGCAGGTGGCAGGTGGGCCCAATTTCTCCAGGGCTTCACAGGTCAGCCTTGGATCGTGGATTTTATCCTAAGGAAAATGGAGGCTGTTGGGGATACTTGAGGAAGACCACTCTGGTGGGGCTGTGCGTACATCTCATTTTCATCCCATTACCCGCTGGTGGTTCCTTGAACCTGCACTGTAGCCCAGGGGGTACCAGGGCACTAGTTAGGAGCACCCTCTTAGATCTCTGCTTCATTACAGATGAAGATCCCAGGAGACATACACAACAGTTTGAGGGTCATTTGGGATTTCATTTAGGTGTTTCTTGGTAATTTGGTGGCATTCTGTAACTTTTAAAATATGACCCCCTGAAGGCCTTTTCAGATTAGTCCGCAGAGATCCATGCTAGCCCTCCAGCCACCCAGTGTGTGTGGAGCACACAGCCATATTCACACAAGCATCCCCTCTCAGTGGATATTCAGGGTACTTCCGGTTTTCCAAGCTGTCAGAAAGCATTGTAGGGAGCACCCTAGGTGGCAGGGGAGAAGTGAGCCAGCCAGGCAGTCATCCTGGGACTTCCCCAGCTCTCATGGGAGGGAGCCCCTGTTTCTTGTATCTCATGTCTTTTTCTTGATTTACTTCCTTGCTTTGCTGAAGTTCAGAAAGTTAGTCACCCTCAGAACCCTGAAGACCCTGTTTCCTGTTGTCTAAAATCCAATCTTGCTACAGTAAGTCCCCGACTTATGAATATTCGAGTTGCAAACTTTCACAGATACGAACGGACCTCGCATTACGAACATTTATAGATGCGAACAAATGGCAGAAGTAGCTCATGTGTCTGTCAGACATTGTCACAGTTGTGCTGCTGTGTGCTTACTGTACAGTGCGATAGTGTACAGTAGTGCAGTGCTCAATCAGAGCCCGGGATGTCTGGAAGCAAGAGGAAAAGCAGTGGTGATGCGGAGGGGACCGCTAGGAAGCACAAAGCAATAACCATGGAAACAAAAGTGAAAATAATTGAGAGATTGGACCGAGGCAAAAAGATGGTAAANTTTGCACAATTGTAAGATGGAAGCAAATCCCTTCTTCCTCAGGCCTTCTGTAATGTGCCCATCTAACCCAGAAGAAAAGAGCCATATTGGCCACACTTACAGATTTTTGTACTAGGTGGTTTGAAGAGGTGAGGCCTTTCCAGTACTTCATGGAGGGGCTGCTCAGTCAAGGCCTCGGTGAGGTTGGGTCATGTTTCCAAAAGTGGTTTGTACTTTACTGACAAAGCCAGCCTGAAGAAACTTCCATTCTCACTCTAGTCCTTGGCTGGGCTGCTCTTTGGAGCCAGATCAAACAGCATCCCGGGGAGGAGCAGAGGCCTTTGAAGTTGGCTATGCTGAGCTGACCGGGCAGATCAAAGCCTGCAGAGCAAGCCATTCGAGACCCAGATGAATTTTGTATCAGCCTGGGTTGGTGAGCTTCTTGCTCTCCAAGGGGCATGAGGCTGCGATTGATCTAAGCCCACAATTGATATTCTGGCCTTGTAGAAAGGAGCAGTCCTTGCTGGATGCCATTTGAAAGGGAAAAGGAGCCATCCTTGTGAACAGACAGGGCCCCAGGGTGTCCGTTGTCTCTGTTCTTGCTTGGTGGCTGGTCTGGATCACGTGGCCTGGCCAGTGGAAGGGAAGGAGCAAACCAGCAGCTGGCTACAGAGCAGGAGTCTCTGATGGCATTCGCAGGTCACAGATGGAGTGGTCTTGTGCTGAAGGCAACCTGGCCAGCTGCCTGTGGCTCAGCTCTGCTCTCCTGGCAACTGTCCATGGGTCTAGATGCTGGACAGTGAGGCCTGGATTTGTGCTTTGGGCTTCTTCAACTTCCTGCACAATGTGCACCATGAGGCCCAGGCCACAGGACTTTGGCAGCCCACAGTGGGCCTGTGGATGCTGGCAGTGGGCTGTGCCAGTGGGCTGAGACATATCTCAGGAGGTAAGGAAGCTGCTGACCTAGGGCCTCTTAGCAGAAAAGACAAGCTAGAGTGGGGCCCAGGAGCCTTACTTCCTGGGGGTTGGAGACACATGGTTATCAGCATTTTCAAAAGCAAAATGTTCTAGGGTAGAGTTTTCCCAATGACTTGAGCCACGGCCCCTAGGATCCTCTAAGCAACAGGTGTGTATGGGTGTGTTTGCTCTTCAGAAGCAATTGAAGTTCTTGGAGCAGCAGCAGAACGAGACCAAACAAGCACGGGAGGAGGCCCGCCGACTTAGGAGCAAGATGCAGACTATGGAGCGGTGAGTTGGGAGCTCGGGCCTGTCCTGTGCTTCTGCTGCCAGGGCCCCCAGCTGGCACAACTCTCAGGACTGCAGCAGGGATTGGGTCACCTCTGTGGCTCAAATCTCCATAGGCCATGGGGGTGGCTCAGGCCAGCTGGGTATGGGCAGAGGTCTCCTTGCTCAGCCTCTTTGGGCCCCTCTATTTCCCATGGGTGCCCTTGCCTTACCCTTCCCTGTTGCCTGTGGACAGATGACCTGGCAGGTCTTTTGCTCCAAGAACCTCCAGGGATCCCTGACCTTGACCTCTGTCAGTACCCCTACTTCCCCAGCAGCATCCCTGCAGCTCTGCTCAGCTCTGCTGTGGAGCCTTCCTTTGGACAGATCCGCCTGCAAAAGCATCCTAGCAGCCCAGGCTGTCACCATAGCAACAGCAGCAAAGGGAAGCAGAGCTGCACTGGNTTGTTGTTAGCCATAAAGTCTTTGTCAGGTCATTAGTTGACTGCAGAGATAATGGAACAGAAACTCCAGCGACCATAGACAAGGAACACACTTTGCAAAAACAGTTTGAAAAAATCACGAATAGATAGCTTCAACCTTCAAGAAGCAAAATTTAGCAATCCCTGAGGTGTGAGAGAATTCAATTTCCAGAGTTACCATGACATACTCAGAATATACAGTTCTCAACAAAAGATTAGAAGTATATGAATAAACAGGAGAGCATGGCTCATTCACAGGAAAAAGAAAATTTGACAAACTCACTGACAAATTTTGGAACTGAAAAGTACAATAACAAATGAGATTCACTAGCACTAGAGTCTCAAAAGTCAATTGCTTTCTTATAAGTCAGCAATGAACAATTGAAATTAAAAACAATATCACATTAGTACCAAGAAGAAGGAGCAAAGAAAGGAATATTTAGGTATAAATCTAACAAAATACGTACAAGGTCTGTGTGAGGAAACCATGAAAACTGATGAAATAAGAGATCTAAATAAATGGAGAAATATTTCAGGTACGTGGGTAGGAAGACACAATATTGTCAAAATGTCAGTTTTTCCCAACTTGATCTACAGAATCAACAAAATCCCAGTAAAAATCCTAGCAAGTTATTTTTGCTGATATCAACAAACTGATTGAAATTTATATATATACTATCTTACATGTTTTCGAAAATTTATATTTTTCTATACACCTCTCCCTTTACACACACACACAAAGTTTATATGGAAAAGCAAAAGACCAATAACCAAGGCAACGCTGTAGAAGAACAAAGTCAAGGACTGACACTACCCAACTTCAAGTTTTACTATAAAGCTACAGTAATCAAGACAATATGGTGTTGGCAAAAGAATAGACAAATAGATCAATGAAACANACGGGTAGCTAGCTGTCAGATGCACTTGTTGCCTGGGTCATTCTTCACCTGGGTAGATTTGGCCCCCTTCCTGCCTTTCCCCATTTCCTCAAAACCCAGCACCTAGATTGGGGTGTCTTTCAAGTGGTCACCACACGGGTCTACAGTGATGTGACTTCAGTAACCACCAAACCAGTGGCTCCAGCTTGGGGTACTTACAGGGTTACAGAGGTTGTCCGACTCCAAAGGGATGTGCTGTGACAGGTCAGGCCTGAGAATAGGACTGGCTGCGTGTACACCCCATCCTCTTGCCCAGGACCTACTATGCAGTCACACTCTTTCTTGTTCTCCCATCCAGGTTGGCAGAAGAACCATTATCAATAAGCTCTTCTTTGACCTTGCCCAAGAGGAGGAGGGTGTCTTAGATGCAGAATTCTTAAAGGTACCCAGAATTTATCTCATCCTACTGAACCCCAAACCCCCTGAGAATTCTTTCTGCTCCCACCCAGGGAGGGTACCTAGAGTATGGAGGTGGAGTTCTGGAGGGCAGACTTGGTAGAGATTTCCAGGCGGAGGCAAGGAGAACAGAGCACAAGTTATGATAAGACACAGTCATTGGAGAAATACACTGTGAGCCCTCCCCTCGGGATTCCAGAACAGTTCTGACCCAAGGTCCCCTCACCTTGCAAAGGATCTACAACCACCCTTCCCAGCCCATTTTGCTACTGGACAGTTAAAGACAGATTAGAAAACACTTCTGGTCCTCAGCCAGGGAGATGTGTGGACCCACTGTTCATAGACCTGGCTGTGTCTCAAAGCTGCCTGGGGAGCTTGGTATGCACCAGGTGCCTGTGTCTTTCTCAGACCAGAAATAGAGGGCAGAGCCCCCAGAATAAAGAGTGTGACGCCAGGGCAGAAGCCCACACTGCAGGGGAGGATAGGCAGATTTCCTCCTACACTTCTACTGCTTTTCCTCCCAGCCTAAGTTTCTTTGTGCACAAGGGGGCTGGGTTGGCAGAAACCTCTGGAGGACGTGGGGTTGGGGTTCGCAAGTAAACCTGGACTCTGAAGGTTAATCTGCTGGGCATCTGTCAGATTAGGGTTCACTTGGCTCTGGCTTAAGGATGCCATGATGTCCTTGGAACCTCAGTGCTTTAAAAATGTGGAGCTTTTGTGCTTAAAGCCAGCATGTTCATCGTCATGGTAACTGCTCCCAGTTTTAAGTCGTGTCCTCCCTGTGATAAAGGCAACAAAGGCAGCTTCATTTCTTTCTGGCTTTCAAAGCCAGATCCAGGAGACAGGGAGGCAGCATCTTGAGTAGTTTGGAGCAAGGGCTTGGAAGGTACTCTGCTTGGGTGTGGCAGGGTAGTGGACTAGGAGTAGCTTTGGGCTAGTTGCTCTTCTCAGGCAGTCCATGCATGCCCTTCTCCACCCGCCACTTCCACCCCAGAAGTTCAGTCTACACTGACCAGCCCAGCCACCAAAAGCACCTGCCCCCAGAGTCCTGGGTGAGGAGTTTGACCCCAGGGGGGCTTATCCACCCACTAGGGCTGGACCTTAGTATTGGTCACATATGGGATTCTGACCTTGTGTTGACCTGGGAAGGGTGAGCTGGAAGAGGATTTGCTTGGATTCCATCCAGCTACCACCATGGAACCTTGGCCAAGCCTTCCAGTTCTGTAGAGGCTGGTTTTCCTGCTTATGGAGTAGGCACCTCTCTCTTGCCCATAGGGTCGTTGAATGCTCTGGGCTCCTGAGTGGGTGCTGGACTCAGTTCTGCCCCAGCCTCTCAGTGGTTCTGCGGCAGTGGCCCTGGAATGTATACACGGGCTTTGAGAGGCTCCTTTGACCCTCACAGCAGCCTGGTTAGAGCGTAGCACATGTAAGGTTTCATTTGGGGGCTCAAAGTTGTCCCAGCTTACCTGCCCTATTGGATTCTGGGGCTGGAAGATTCGTGGTACACAGAGCCAGCCTACAGCTTAGAAGAGAGGTGGACTGTGAAGCAGGAAGGACCTAGGGTGGAGGGAAGGAGTGGTGGCCCAAGGTCCTTGGCCATCCCAACTCTGTGGCCCTAGTGAGTGCCACTGATCTCCAGAGAAGGTAAGGGCCAGCCCAGGACCAAGGAAGCAATGGAAACCTCTGCGGTAAGACTGATCACACAGACCCAGCTTTACTTCTCTTGCCCCTGTTCTCCCTCTTTCCCTGTCCTGGGGTCTTATACTTTAAATTATTTTCCTCCATCTTACCGACTTCTTAAAAAGGCACACAGAGATAAAGCAAGAATTATCTCTCCATTGTTGGCTTAGCTTGGCCTTGAGGTAGAGCAGGGTCTGTGCCTCCCTGGACCTACAGGTCTCATTACCCTCCTGGGGCTTCCACAGCCTTATGGGAGGCTGAGTGAAGGCCAGCTGTGAGGCCTTCCAGCTGCTTATTGTGGATATTGCCTTGCAGAATGAACTGGATAATATCAGAGCCCAGCTTTCCCAGAAAGGTGAGTTAGCAAGAGACAAGGGGCCTTGGGAAGCTTCTGACTTGGATGCTGGTGGGAGAGGTCCTGGGAGGAAGGCCTCCAAGCTTCTGGCAGAGCCAGAGGCTCTCCCTGCTTTGTATGGCCAAGAGTCTTGTGATTGGCAGGAAAG